TGTCGCAGTTACTCACACAGTGAATAATATAAATACTTTGCTCGAAGGTTTGCCTTCTCCTAGCACATTACTATGCCATGGAATGATACATACGTAAATTTATGATGGCCTACGTGATCTGCGTTAACTATAGAATGCCTAAACCTTTATTTATTTAGACACATTATGATTGCCAATCTATGGCTACCAAAAAAAAGTGTGATTTCCCACATTAATTTTCAATTTTCATACCCTTTTCTGGGGACTGCTGGTGATTTTGAAATGCCACAATTTTCATTTTGTTTTCTTCATACATGTGATTGAATCTTAAAGGTTCACGACGGCTGTCTTAGGAAATCCGATAGATTTTTCTTATTAGAAGCACTATCAGTATAATTACTTTTGAGCTCTGATATTTTTTATTGACATAAATAAGAGTTTTATCAAAAGGAAAGTTGTGATAATGCTGCTTCAATGGGAATAGAAAGAAATCAAAAGTCAAATTCAGCAAAACGTACGAGTATGTGGAATACGTGAGCGAAGAAATTTTAAGTTCGTCTCTAAGGCTAAATAACGTCAAGAGACTATGAATCTGATTTAAGTTATTTGTACGTATTCAAAGTATGTTTAATCATAACTATTCGAACTGTAGTGTAAATCAAATATTAAATTTATTGCTAAACGCTACAGGATATTTGAGATCTCCGTATTAATTGCAGAAATTTCTTCAATGACATTGGCGATTCCTTGATTAACAGAAGAGTTTATATTTTCAATTTCCTAAATCACCATAGCTTTAACATTACCTTATTAAAAAGTTTCTTCTTTGGCCTGAATTTGTATTAACAAAGTATGCAATATTCTCTTCAACAGCGGCAATAAATTCGTTCATATTTGAGGAGAGTACTAGAGGTAATTTTGGCATACGCTTCAAATTCTTCATTTCATGTTTATCATTTCTGTCTTCGTTTCAGCAACATTATCTGTTGCTTCTTACTGTCTTCAAAAAATCATATCCATAACGGTTTTTTACTGGGCTTGCACCTTTCTGGTAATAGGTTTCAAAGATATCAACAGTTCTATCACCACTGTTATGAACAATTGTTATGTTCTTAAAGTCGACTCTAAGCCGAATTACCTTTACCTTCACTCGCATTTGGTACTAACTACTGTGAGTTATCACCAATAAATCAAGTATGCCTTAGGCCTTTCACATTGTATCAAAAAGAAGATATACTATTGGTACATCTAATCACCCAGAGGCGTAGAATGCTTTCAGAAACTCTAAGGTTTGGAGTAATCTGGTCGTGGGGAAGCAAAAGTTTCCATAGATCTTAAGTTGTAAAGAAATCTTTTACAAATGGTCGCATTCAGTCTCTGTTAGATATTAATTGACTTATTTAAGTAGAAGCATTCTGAATTGAGAGCACTTTGTCACAAGATAGGAAAACAGTTTAAGTCTGCGTTCAATTAATCAGTAATGTCCTTAACAATGCACCCGAAACGTCAAAGTTCAATCAGACTTTGGTCAAAAACACAAAGTTCATAAAAATTAGTAGAATTTGCATTCAATTCTTGCGAAGGCTGCTATTTATATTTCTGGTCTTGGGAACAGTAAGTGTATCAATAAGATATTACACAAAACATTTGGCCGTAAAAAAAAAATTAAATTAAATTAAATTAAAAAAAAAATTGTTCGCGCTGGATCCCGCATAATCTGACAAACGTTCAAAAGAAGGCTCGAGTCGATTGGTGCAAGAAAATGTTGGAAAAATACGTTCAAGAGGCATCAAAGGCTGTGTATAATATCTACACAGATGACAACTCATAGATCTATGCATATGAGCCCGAAACAAAATAGTCGGCTGTAAAGGTGTTCTAAGACAAGCCAAATCAACCAAAAGTTATTCGCGGAAGATGCACATCGAAGCAAATGTCTTCCTGTTTCTTCGGTATTACCAGTCACAAGCAACGCAGGACGGTCAATTCCGAATGTACCATAGGACCATTTCTTTGCTAGAAGTCATCGGAGAAATTCGGAAAAAAAGTAGAAGAGGCGAAATATTCTTCATCATGACAATGCGAGCTCTTACACATCGTCTCAAACAAAGGAATTTTTAACGGGCCTAAGCATAGAATTGATGGGTCATTCGCTGTAGAGCCATAATTTGGCCCCCAATGACTTTTTTTATTCCTTCACATAAAAAATAAAACACGTGGTCAGTGATTTGCGACACTCGAAGAAGGATTGATGCATTCAAAACGCATGTCTTGGTGTTACCTTAATCGGAGTGGAAAAAGTGCTTCGAACACAAACGTATGAAAAAGTGTAATGATCTTCATGGAGAATATTTTAAAAAACAATAAAGCCAAATTCGATCATAAACATTTATTTTTTCATTATTAGGCCAGAAATATCAATGGAAACCCTCGTAGACTGTAGATTCAGCTAATTAACTAATTGGTCATCGCTTCCAACGCAGTCATATATGTAGGACTGCACAGTACTTCTAGAAGCTTCGACAAAAATAGCTCCTAACATCTGACTGAAACAGTTAAAGAGCTTGTTATATAAATTCTAAGACTTTTCAGTGAATCTCGATGTCAATATAATAATTGGTCGTACATACTAGGAACATAACAGAAATATCAGGAAAAGCCAAAGAAGTAAGTTGTAGAGACATTAGGTATTTTTGGAAGCAAAAAAGATGAAAAATGAGAAGGGAATCGAACACCGGATGTTTAGTATTTTTTGTTACCAAGCGAATTAGTAGTGTGTCTTTGCAACAATAGATGGCGTTGCTGCCTGATGATTCAATTCTGGTTGCTATGGTAACGAACTTTCAACTCATAACTTATGTGATTTGTATTCTATTTTTTTAATTAATTGTTTCAGTGCTAAGAGTGAAGTGTGCTGTGTCGTCCCGTAGACGGCATTCTTTCTATTTGAAAGTGTTATATAAAATAAATAAGTGATATTACAGTCCGCTTACCTTTGTTTTTGTGAACTTATTCTTAACATTCTTGGTCCGTCGAGCCGGAGAGAAGAGTTAGCGAGCTTTGGATATGATGTGATTTATTCAAATATTAGAAAGTTAAATCACTTTCGATTTGTGGATTAATAATCAGCTTAGGGTACTTTCGATTCGATTTGGGGATTATGCGTGTGGCATCTGTGGTGAAATCAGTTTCGATTTGTGGAATATTCCCGTGGCATGGTGTAGCGTAGAAACCTCAACATTGGGGTGAGTACGTTCCAATATTTCATCTTCTTTTGCTAGAGTTGTTAGTATAATATTTATTGTTATTCATAATGGCTGATTTGAAACCAGTTTTAACTAAAAAGAAGGTTCTAAAAAGCAATATAATAACGCTTAAAGGCAAGGTAAATTCGAATTTAGAACAAGCAGAAATTTTAGAGGTAAAGTTGTTCGAAACGAAACTAAATGCTTTTAACAGTGAGCTTCGTTCTACTTATGAGGAAATATTTTTGTTGTGTCTGCTGAAAAAGATTGGGATACATTCATTACGGAACAACAAACAATACAAGAAACTTTAGATGAATTATGGATAACTATAAATAAAAATTTACAGAAACCTTCCAGTGACTCTGTTATCGAAACAAGTAATGTAGCAAAAGTAAATTCGTCTGACGTTCGATTACCAAAATTAGAACTTTCTACCTTTACAGGGGAAAATATAGAAGAGTGGATTAGTTTCTATGATCTTTTTAAGGCTAGTGTAGATAACAATCCGAATATTTCTAAATGTCAGAAGTTTCAATATTTAAAGGCTTCTTGTAAAAAAAAAGGCTCTGTCTATTATTGAGTCAATTCCTATTTCTGATGCTAATTATGATATAGCGTTACAACTTTTACAGGAACGTTATTCTAATAAAAGAGAATTAACTAATGCATTAATCCGCAAAATGTTTAATTTGCCAAATGTTTCTGATTCAGCTCAAGTTATTTTACATTGTGTGGATGTAGGGAATGAATGTGTACGCTCTTTGATAACTCTTAAGCTAGAAGTTTCTGATCTTTCTGATGTTCTTTTTGTTTATCTGATAATTGAGAAATTAGATAAAAACATAAAATTTTGGTGGGAAAGAACTTTGAAAAAAGATGAACTAGGTACTTTAGATAATTTACTCGAGTTTCTAAAAAAACACGCTAGAACCCTTCAGAATAGTAGAAACCAATCTAAAGATTTTAGGAAATTTTCTAATTCCAAAGTAACTTCTTCAGTGTGGAGTAAAAACAATTGTATAATGTGCAAGGAAGATAATTCTCTTCAGAAATGTGGTAAGTTTTTAAACTTAAGTGTCCAAAAAAGAATCGAATTTGTTAAGAAACATAAACTTTGTTTTAATTGTTTATCTTCTCAGCCTCATTTAGTGAAAAACTGTCGTAGTTTTCATAAATATATGACGTGTAAGTTACCTCATCATACTGTTCTTCATTTTGATCGAAATATCAAAACTAGTGAAAATGAGAAACCAAAACAAACGTCCTCACTCTCCCCCAGAGCCGAAGTGTTCCTACCAAAGAATGAAGTCGTTACAAATGCCACAACATGTACAGGACAATTTAGTTATTCTAAAAGTGAAGCAAAACGTGTATTACTGTGTACTGCTCTCATTAAAGTTAGTGATTCCAATGGTAAAGCCATCCCTTGCAGGGCTTTACTAGACTGTGGCAGTGAAGCCAGCTTTATAAGTGAACAGTGTGTCAGAAAACTAAAGTTAGATAGATTTAACAAAAAAAATTGAAGTGTCGTGCCTTGGTTCGTTCAACACTGTAACAAGTGGAGAAGTAGAATTAATCTTTACCCCGCACTTTGAGTCAAATTCCAAATTTCGAACATATGCATTCGTGATTCCAAGGATAACTTCAGATGCCTAACGTGTCGCTTCCTTCTAAAATTGCGAATCATTTTGACGATCTAGTCTTAGCTGATCCTAAGTTCTATGAAAGAAAACCTATATAGATATTTTGTTAGGTGTAAATGTATTTTTTACTATGCTTAAGGGAGACATCATAAAGAGAGGAGAATCATTACCCTTTGCAATTTGTTCTCAGTTGGGTTGGATCATTTCAGGGAACACTATTACTGATGATTCAAATCTAACTAACACTTTTACAGTGAATAATCTTCAGTTGAATACAAACGAATTAGTTGAAAGATTTTGGTCTTTAGACTCCATTCCTGAAGTCAAACGTATTTCAAGTGAAGATAAAAAATGTGAAGAGTTCTTTAAAACAACACACTTCCGTGATCAAAATGGTCGTTATGTAGTGAAATTTCCATTTAAAGGTAACCCTTCAAGGTTGGGTAATTCTAAGGATCTTGCTTTACAAAGATTTAAATCTTTAGAGAGAAATCTCTTAAGATCTCCTGATACATATGATATGTATAAACATTTCATGAAGGAATACTTGGATCTCGGGCACACGGAACCAGTCCGTAGTTCAGAGTCCCCAAGTCAGGCATACTACATGCCACATCATGCAGTAATTAAAGAATCTAGCTCTACGAGTAAAATATGTGTGGTATTTAATGCTACTAGTAAGTCTTCATCAGGACTATCTCTTAACGACATATTGATGACAGGTCCCAAAATACAACAAGAGCTGTTTCCAGTTTTGGTCAAATTCAGATGTTACACAGTAGTTGTCACAGCTGATATCATGAAAATGTTTAGACAAATTCTAGTTAATGAATAGGATAGAAACTTTCAAAGGATATTTTGGCGGGACAGTCCAAGTGATCCTATTCAAGAATTTCGACTTAATACTGTCACATACGGCACTGCCTCGGCTCCATATTTGGCTACTTGTGCTTTATACCAACTTGCCTACGATGAGCAGAATAACTATCCTTTAGCTTCGAAGGCTGTACTTCAAAATATTTTTGTAGATGATTGTTTGGTAGGTGCTCAAAACACTGAAGAGTGCAAAAATCTAAATCAACGCTTGCAAATGTTAGAACGTGGAGGATTTCTTCTGCGTAAATGGTCATCCAATGACTTGTCAGTGTTGGAGTATATACCCCAGGAGTTGAGAAATGATTCTGAGGCTATGAAAATTCAAGACGATAGCTCAATCAAAGTTTTAGGAATTAATTGGAATCCCCATGAAGACTACTTTAACTTTTCCGTATCCATTTCTGGTGAAAAGTTTAAATACTCTAAAAGAGATATTCTTTCTGATTTAGCGAAAATATTTGACCCATTGGGTTGGCTTGCTCCTTGTATTACTTACGTCAAAATCTTGATACAAGGCATGTGGAAACTCCATTTATCGTGGGATGAACCTGTTAGTGATGAGATTGCTAACAAATGGAAGATTTTCTGAAATGATTTACATCTTATTCAGCAATTAAAAATACCGAGATTTGTTTTGATTCCTGACGTGAACTATATTGATATCTGTGCTTTTTGTGATGCCTCCGAGAAAGGCTACTGTGCAGCAATTTATTTGCGTTCAGTGTCACGTAATTTGGACATCAAAGTAACACACTCTTAACATCAAAGACAAGAGTTGCCCCTCTGAAAGTGCAATCATTACCTCGATTAGAGTTATGCGCCGCAGTTTTGTTAGTGAATTTGCTTAAATCAGTCTTAGAACATTTAGAGTTTCCTATACGTAAAGTTTTGGCCTGGACAGATTCTACTGTTGTACTGTCCTGGATTTCTGCAGAACCATATCGTTGGGTTCTCTTTGTTGCAAACCGCGTTGCTAAAATACAGAATACAATTCCTAATGTAAGGTGGAACCATATCAATGGAAAGAGGAACCCAGCTGATTCAGGCACAAGAGGAATGTTTCCAGCAGAATTTCTGAAGTGTTAGCGATGGTTCATTGGACCTACTTGGGTATATTCACAAGATTTCGAACCATGTCCTGACAGTGAACATCTTGCTGTATAGATTATGAAGGAGTTCATAGAGAAGAAAGAAAAACTTGCATTTCAGTATCTTGTGCGGTAAAGGAAAATGACATTTTTAAACGGTATTCATCTTGGACAAAATTACGTCGTATAGTTGCATTATGCCTAAGATTTATTTACAACTGTCGAAACTTCTCCGAAAATTGTTTGAGAGGTTTTCTGACAACCGATGAGCTTCGATTAGCTACAAAAACAGTGATAAAAAATGTCCAAAAATCATATTTTCCTCAAGAGCTCTCTTATTTAAAAACGTCGAGAGAATTAAAAGGTGTGAGCAGCCGAGTAATACAATTAACTCCCTTCCTTGATGAAGAAGGCGTCATTCGAGTAGGTGGTCGCTTAAAAAATGCAAACATTCCTAAAAATAGCAAACATCCTATTTTGCTTCCAAAGGAAGGACATGTCACTAATCTCATCGTAACTCATTACCATGTCAATTATTTGCATGCTAGTCAAGAGTTATTAATAAGCACTTTACGAATGCAGTTTTGGATTCTTGTGGTGAGAAGCGTAACGAGAAAGATTATTCACAGATGTATTAGAAATCGAGGCAAGACTGTGACCCAGATAATGGGTGATTTACCCTCGCCCAGAGTTCAATCATCAAGACATTTAACAGTCACCGGTGTTGATTATGCTGGTCCATATTCTATTAAGTCCCAAGTTGGAAGAAGAACAAAAACTTTCAAGTGTTACGTATCCATTTTTGTATGTTTCTCAACAAAAGCGTACATTTGGAGTTAGTCAGTAATCTATCAACTTTAACGTTTTTAGCAGCTCTAAAAAGATTTATCGCCCGACGAGGCAAACCATCTAAAATTTCGAGACTGTGCTACTAACTTCAAAGGTGCTAGTAAGGAACTGAAGGAGATTTATAAAAATGCAGCTCGCATTGAGAAAAGCAGTGAATTATGTGACTACATTACCTCAGAAGGTATAACTTAGATATTTAATCCTCCGACATCTCCCCACTACGGGGGCTTGTGGGAATCTAATGTGAAATCCATGAAATTTCATCTTAAACGAGTATTAGGATCCACACTTATAACTTACGAGGAATTTTTAACAGTGCTTACACAAGTGGAAGCGCATATGAATTCCCGTCCTCTTTGTGCGATGTTTAGTGATCCAAACGACTTTAGTGTATTGAATCCAGGTCATTTTCTGATTGAAACCCCTTTGCTTGCCATTCCGGAATCTGACTTGAGTGATGTTAAATCTTCACGACTTAAACGTTGGTCTCTAGTTCAACAGAGTGTGCAACATTTTTAGAGAATGGTGTGCAGAATATTTAACAACACTTCAACAACGTGCTAAGTGGTTTCGTGCGTCTCCAAATCTAAAATGTGGTGATTTAGTTCTGATCAAAAACGAACAACTGCCTCCAAACCAATTGAAAATTGGAAGAATTGCCTTAATTCATCCAGGTAGTGATAAAAAGGTTCGAGTGGCTACAATCCATACAGCCGCTGGTGATTTCAAAAGAGCTGTTACTAAATTGTGTCATATCCCCAATCATGACTAAATAGTATGAACTATGAACTATTGACTTTTTTCATATTGTTGAACTTTAATTTTAGTTATATTTTCAATTAATTTTTTTGTTAATGTTATTATGTATGCTTTAACTATTTGTCTTTTTTTAACCCTTAGAAGGCTTCAAGGCCGGGGGCTATGTTTAGTATTTTTTGTTACCAAACGAATTACTAGTGTGTCTTTGCAACAATAGATGGCGTTGCTGCCTGATCATTCAATTCTGGTTGCTATGGTAACGAACTTTCAACTCATAACTTATGTGATTTGTATTCTATTTTTTTTTTTAAAATTGCTTCAGTGCTAAGAGTGAAGTGTGCTGTGTCGTCACGTAGACGGCATTCCTTCTATTTGAAAGTGTTATGTAAAATAAATAAGTGATATTACAGTCCGCTTTGTTTTTGTGAACTTATTCTTAACATCGGACCTCTGGAAAACCAGCCCAGAGTGCAGAACCACTACACGAAGGCACGCTAGGAAGGCGGGAGAAATACCTTATAAAGTAAAAAAAAACACTCACATATAAAAGAGATATTCTATCATATAGAAACAGATTAAAACAAATATATATATATTTCTTCCAATGGCGGGCACTTGCCTGTAACTGTATTGGCCACTCATAAGGCCAGAAGCGGTGGCCATTTCATTCTGGAGGCACCTAACAGCCGGCCACCGTTGCCTCTATGAAGGGACAGACAATTTTACATCCATGCCTTTTCAGGGATTCGAGCACTGGCCCTTCGGTATTGCAGTCAGGCTCCTCTAACAACTATACGTCTGGGCGGCCACAAATATATATATATATATATATATATATATATATATATAAGTTCATATAAATAAACGTAAATGTTTACCTAAGTTATTCAGCGTAATGATCAAAGCTAAAAATTCCAAAACTATATTGCAAATTTGTATTAGCATTTAGACTTACAAGTGTTGTCTGGCCATGGATAACCAAGATCCTCTATCACCCATCATATTTGATAGGGAATAGACACACCCCTTCACCCATCAGGTGAAACAAGTTTTTAATCTTGTGAACTAAGATAAATGCTGAATCTTGTAAGCTTGACAGAGAAGGGGAGACCTATTACTTGAGAATCGTCATAGGTTTCTGCAAGGTCATTTTCAGCCTCGATTCGTAAGTTATTTCAGTTCGAAAGTGCACTGGCGCATTGAAAAGTAGCGACTGTTAAGGAAGACGATATCGGGAGGGTTTCATCTGCTGTCTTGTACCACAGACTGTTATTATTTGCTTTAAATTGTAACATATATAAGCTAATTATTTCATCAGAATCTGCACTGCTGGTCATTACAATTGCTATATGATTGTTGTATGCCATTAAGGCAGCATCATGCAAATTTGCATGAGAGGTACTATATGCCAGGATAGTAAATGATTAGCACTCTAGGATATATGTGTACAAAGCAGGTATGACTACTGTATCTACATTTTGCATAAATGGGAAGACTACACAACGAGTAGTATTTAAAACACTAGTTTTTTATGTAAAAGTAATGGATAATTCCTTATGTTAACGACCTTCAAGACCGAATCGCTAATCAGTCGAGATATCTTGCCGAAATCTCGCCTTGAGCAACCAATCTACATCTTGGTTGCTTAGTAATTAAACTTTAGGGGCCTCTATGTACCGAGTAGTGTTATCCGTAAGTAAGTGTAAGAAAGAGAAACACCTCTAGCATGCACCAGAATTCGACAGCAGTAAGATCGTAGCCTATCGGGACCGTGCTTTATTATTCCGCAATATTGCTTTCGTGTTGGTCGATCGATGAATCCAGGGTGGCATATTAAATGTCATGCTTTCTCAGTAAAGGTATCTTTCTCCTACAAATTGATTTGCCTCCTACAAATTTAATGATTTGCTCCTCCCATTATATTGTATATGTACAATGAATAAAATTTCGATATTTCATTTATTCCTGGTGTAGCAGTTTCATCGGCTAGCAGTGTATAGTAGGTTTTCGCTCCAGAAATGCTTTGAACTGAGCACCTACGCCATTTCTAAAAGAAAACTCCAAACTGATTTAGATTTATTTATCATGCAAAATTAGGTTATTGAACTATATAGAATATGAATCTGGTATAGAATATATCAATATTTAATGCTATTTTAAATTTTATATTCATTGACTAATTTCAATTTGTAATTTTCTTATTCTTTTATACTAATCAAATCCTGTGGAAGAGAGGAAAGCTTTAATAGATCAAAGCGCTTTAAAACCGGCTGAAAATAAAATTATTAATTAATGTAAGAAATGTACTATATATTAACGCAAAGAAAAATTAAATAAAAATATTAACTAATAAAACGTTGCTTGAACCTTCATAGAAAATTCTACGAATGTTTTCAGTAGTTTAAGACAACTCAGGTAATATCAAATTTATCAAGAACAATTACATTGATAACCACTAGATGTGTGATATAGATTTATACAATTTAAGTTTCATTAATGTGGTAGATGTTATTTATTGCTGCACTAAGAATTAAAAATGGGAAGATTAGTTCACCTATCAAAGACACTGGGAGATATTATAGAAAACGGCGAGTTTCTGGTGAATTCGGATCAGTTTTTGTATACTTAATTACTGAGCAGACCTATTGCTAAAAACTTACGGCCTTATTTCCTTCCAATAATAATAATAATAATAATAATAATAATAATAATAATATAAAAATAAATGAACATTTTACAAAAATGTCTTATTTTATCACAATTTTAGAAAATTTCATTGAATTTTTCATTGCCGTCAAATACAAAGACAATTCAGAGTAAACTGAAGTTAAAATTCCTAATTTCAATATACAGAGTGGTAAAGTCTCTGAACAGACTCTGAACGATCTGAGAT